ATGTGCTGCGTTGAGTATTTTAGGATGTGGAACATTCTTTACTTTCCAATTATCGATGCAATTTTTATGAGATCTATAGGTACACACCCACCCTTTGGTGTGTACACACACCCCTGAAATAGAGGCCCTCCTAAATTACCGTAACCTCCCTAGCTAGATACTGCACACTTATCGATACAAAATGCCATATAATATTATTGGCTTTGTGCACACCTCTCCATAATACAGGCCTCCTTTGTGTCAGCAAATAGCCTTGCGTATGGATCCGCTCTCATTATCCGGCATCCCCCTATAAGTATCCCTATTTTTACTACCATTTCCTCTAATTTAAATAGAGCCCAGAAAAACGTAACAATGCTTGAAAGGCGAGAAGCGAATGAAGCTGGACGGACGCGCTAGCTCCCGCGGCGAAAGCAAAGAGGCACAGCTTGTGACCGCAATCCACATACACACGCACACGTACACGTACACGCGGTCGATGACCTGCATAGGTGCGTTTGATGGTTGATATTAGATGTTTACCTTAGCAGATGGCGACCGGATAGCTCAGATTCACGTCGAGGCCACGCAGTTGCCCAACTAATTGCTAGACAGCTTCAACATCAGCTACGTTTGTGCCTTTTCGCCGTAATAATCCTTAGATTATTCATCAGATTACGCTCTTTCGACACATTTCGTGTATATATCTAAAACCTCAGCACACGCAGTTTTAGATTCCTGTATCCAGTCAAGTGCTGCTGATGAATAGTCAAGTCTTTCGTCGCAAAAAGATAGTAGAAGATAGGCACAAGACAAAGGGTCGACGGAAGAATCACTAACTATTTGTGGTACTGTTTTGTTCGTCTGCTTGCAATAGTTCGAGCAGGCAACGGTGAAAATGGCGACCTGGTAATGATCACGTCCGCTCCCTCCACTGCACCAACTTTTGCTATCGTAGCAAGCATCACAGCTCGCCCGGGCATGAAGATGCGTGAGTTTTCGGTACGACATTGTACTCTCTTTCGCGCGGTGTAAAACGTAGTCGACCTTACTGTGCATCCATTTTTGGCATGGAGACGTTTGTTCTGATGGCTGAGAATTTGACAATGTTTGTTGTCCCTGAAATCGACCACGACCCTGTTAGTTCACATTGTAGACAGCGTCTGGCTTATGAAAAGCTTCAGTTTGCAAAAAATACTCGAATGCACTTGGATCGCGGCGAGTAGAGACGTAGTCTTTTCCGCGACGCCCTCGAGCGCCAACTGTACGACCGCGACCCTGCCGTACTGATATATGCGCATTCAACTCTACCAATACGTCCTCTTGTGATAATAGAATAATACGATCACACAGAATGCGCTGTTGGTCTAATGGTAGCTGAGAATAGTGATCTCGAATTTGAGATAGGTCTTGTTACAGAGTAAGATCGGTAGTATCCTCGTGACAGGTGTTCTCGTTGCCATCAAGCCACCACTGAACAATAATTCTTCCTTTTTAAATTTCTCCCACTCGTTGCTAAGATGTCGCGAACGCGATGCGAACATGGGATTACAAGTGTTGATGTAAAGAAATCAGTACATGGAGTTGACGGAGAGATACGTGCCTTCTTTGCCTCTTCATTAGCCTTCTTTAGTGCGTGATGTGATACTTTTCGTCGAACATCATCCCAAATATCACCCGAGAGAGCGATAAGCGTATGTGCGCGGCTATAGGCGATGATGTGTCGAATGACCTTGTCCTGATGATCAACTGCAAGCAATATCCACTGGCATCATCGGCAAGATCGCCCGTCGACACTGCTATCCGTCATTTTACTGATCCATGTAGTCCCTCGGCTCGATTACTTGCTACGTTTACAAGATGACGGTACGCTTTGGTCCATGCAAGAATGAACCGACATTTATCACATATCCAATTCCTTTCAATGTATTTGCTGACGGAAATAGGATAGCGTTTGCAGATGCCAGACCAATTTGTCTTGTATGATGAAACATCGATGGAATAACACAGCTGTTTGAATTCAGCCTCGAACATTTCCCAATCTTGTTGATCTTGGAAGTGCTTGCGGCAGTTGGAAAGTACATTATTTGAAATATGCCAGATGCAAAGCAGATTGTGTGCTTCAAAAAGTGCGAACGAAGCGCAGCCATAAACGAAAGTTTCCGATCCGTGGCAACTACATGAGGTAGTTGATTGTCTATGAAAATGCTTTTTACATCATAGAGAGCCCAGTTGTAGTCTTCTTATCGCTCGGATGAAAGAAATGTGAACGCGACCGAAAAGCTGTCATTACTTGAAGACACCTTAACTATGTGTAGCATTGGCATCTTGAATCTAATAAGAAGATAAAAACGGTCAATGCTGATAAATTAAGTCATCTTGAAATCAGATGCGATTCATACGTACTTATTGACCTTGTATGTACCATCCATGATCATGACATGAGGAAATTCTCGTGCAAGTCAGACGCATGCGCTTGGTGCAAAGAAAAGCTTGGTAAGTTGACCTTGGTCGTCGCGGTCGTAAGCATGGAGAATGTTATTTGCCTGAAGTTCATCCAGCGGCATCTCCATAGGTGTTCTTCCAGCAATATGTTTCTTGGACCAACTCCTTTGAGTTGTATATGTCCCTTGAAATGAGATTGCAGTTTAGATCGATTTGAAGACCTGTTGACAGGATGACCTTGGGTGCTGCACCTGCTCTTGCCATGGCACTGATCGCCAAGGCGTTGTGAAGACTAATTATTCGTGCGGCGGGTTAGGCAGATACATCATCTGCTGCTTCGTGGTTGTGTGTTCTGTTTCTAACAGCCAAAGACTACTGGAAAACTACCACAGAATCACGATCGCTGCAACTAATAGTATGGTCATTGTCATCATCGTTGCATACTGTTTCCCTTGTAATTGTCACGGTAAATGGACACTTAAAAAATTCGTGTTGAGCTGCGACGCTTTGGCGAATCATCTATGAGGTATTTCCGTCGGTTCATGTACCGACCAGCATAAGCACAAACTAACCAGACTTTCCTGATCTCACCCGAGCGGCGCGTTTAGAGCGACTTCTTGATGAGGTGTAACATTCACTTATCGCATGAGAAAGTACAATTCTTTCCGCGCCCTCCAGCGACGCGTAGACAGCCTCCGCAGGCGGTGCAAGCATAGTCGATTGATTCTTTCGATATTTCGATAGCGTAAATCCAGTCACCCCCTGCACCGGATCAACTATCGCAGTGCTGTCTAGATATCGAAATCGATACCTTTGTATCGTGTGCATTTACATTATTAATTATGGCAAGTGATAACTTTAGATTGTTTAACTGGGAAGGTTCATGTCCCCCATTGACAGTTATATTTGCAGTATGAGTCAGATGTATGCATATTACATGACCTAAAAATTATGATCATCTATAACTTAGGGGAATTGGTAGTAAAAATGGGGATACTTATAGGGGGATGCCGGATAATGAGAGCGGATCCATACGCAAGGCTATTTGCTGAATCAAAGGAGGCCTGTATTATGGAGGGGTGTGCACAAAGCCAAGAATTTTATATGGCATTTTGTATCGATAAGTGTGCAGTATCTAGCTAGGGAGGTTACGGTACTTTAGGAGGGGCCTCTATTTCAGGGGGGGGGGGTGTACGCATCGAAGGGTGGGTGTGTACCTATAAATCTCCATTTTTCATTTTCCAATTATCCGAGACATTTTTTATTTTTGTGATTAAACAGGGCATTTTTTTCATTTTTCCTTGATTATAACTATATATTATTGGATACGCCTTCCCTAAATCTCATCTCGAATTGGCGGTTTGTAGGATAAAAACAGTGGCTAATTTTAATCCATTTATAGAGCAATTTATGTGTTTTGGGAAGCTTAACTATCAACGTAGTGGTATAATTACTGTTGGATAGATTCTACGAGGTGATATTTACGTTGACATTGATGTAGAAGTTAAGGTTACATAGCGTCTACCCTTGCATTTAAGAGCGACAAAGGGCTCCATCTCCGATAGCACAACGACGCCACCTTCATTATTCGACCTTTCTTCCGCCCTGTGGGGCACAAAAAGCTATAACGAGGTTGGATGCAGCGAAACAAGATAAGAGATAGCAAACACGCTCTTCTCAAGCGTAATTGCCAAGTTGTAATTGAAGCTTGCATTTGTAAAAAACTATTAAGGCAAGAACTTGGTTGTCATTCAAGCCTCAAACCCAAAAGCTTGATCCCTACGCGCTCGACACAAGAGAGTGGCAAGCTAAACAAATATTGACATACTTCACCATATATCAACCGTAAAGCCACAAAAATTGAAATACATATATCGAAAGTCACCCCCTAGCCTGGCGCAAGATGGAGCTACCGAGCTTTCACCTTTTCAATAATCAACTACAAGTCACCGACTTATCTCTTTGTTGTTGTTACGTCATTTGACTCATTACAAACCAAGTCAATCTTTCTACACATATACGGGTGTCATGTCACGCGCGTCGCAATCATCAATGTTGCTGCTTTTGCTCTTCTAGGCAACAAATACAAAGCTCTTTCTTTTTTAGCCGCGGCCATCGTCACTATGTCGTATACTTGTGGAGTTTTTATCGCTAACTTTTGATTCTTGCAAAATGGTCTCCGTCGGCCATGACGCGACCAGCAGACCATGTCAGCGGTACTTGCTGCTGTGGACTTTGATGCCGTGCAACTACGTGCCCATGCGAATGCCGGCGAGCACAGGTACTGAATTTACAGCTCCAGACTTTCGGCAGATTACTCATTTAGCTAAAGAGTCCTATTTGCGCTGACAGATCTCATGAAAACCGATGATGTGCACTTGTGAGGGAAACGGACATGCGCCGATGCACTGTGCACTCGCTTTCACGACGTCTTGTGTTGACTGACTACCAACGACGATCAGTAGCGGGACACTCACGTCGAAGCAGCAACTAGCAATGCCGCTGTTGTCGTAAAGACTCACATCTAATTCGATAGTTGTACACAAGTCCATCATGTCAGCAAACGAGGAATGCCTCTATTTCTCAAAGACGTCATCCAAAGCCTTTCGGAAAATCTCCAGCGCGAGCGCGCACTCGGACTCTGTCACGGTCAGAGGCGGCATAAAGCGCAACGTCTCGTATATACTCGTCGTCAGCAGCATCATGCCGTGGTCCAGGCATGCCAGCGAGATCCTGTGCGCGGTGCCCTTTGGTGTCGTAGTAAAGTCAAACTCAACTCCGATCATCAAACCCAAGCCGCGGACGTCCACAATCGGGTACCTCCCCGATGCCTTTAGCTCGTCGAGGCCAGCACGCAGCTGCGCACCGCGAGCGCGAGTATTCTCAAGCACGTTCTCCTCGGCAATGACTTCCTGGGTCGCAATGGCCGCTGCGCAAGCGACTGCGTTGCCCGCATACGTCCCACCCATTGACCCGGCAGGCTGCGTGTCTGTCAACTCCTTTCGGCTGGCAATGCCACTGATCGGGTACCCGTCCGCAATGCCCTTAGCAAACGCCAAAATGTCGGGCTGCACGTCAAAGTGACCGTCAATCGCAAAGTGGCTGCCCGTGCGGCCAAACCCAGACTGGACCTCGTCCGCAATGAGCAGAATGTCATTCGCAGTGGCGAGATCGCGCAGGTTCTTCATAAAGCTCGTGGGCGGCACCACATAGCCGCCCTCGCCCAGGACCGACTCAATGATAATGGCCGCCGTGTCACGGGGCGCCGACTGCTGCTTCAGTGCAACGCGCAGTTGCTCTAGGCACCACTCGGCGTTCTTCTCGTCGTCATTGGTCAACGGGCCATGAAGCGCGTATGGATACGGCACAAAGGTGACGCCCGGCATGAGTGGACCAAAGCCCGCGCTGTACACGGTCTTGCTCGACGTGAGGCTCATGGTGCCGATGGTGCGACCGTGGTAGCCGCCCTGAAACGCAATCACTCGGCTCTTGCCTGTCGCATGACGCGCGAGCTTGACCGCATTCTCGACGGCCTCGGAGCCGCTGCACGCGAAGAAGAGCGAGTCGAGGCTCGCGGGTAGCACCGGCAGCAGCTTGTCCGTCAAGTCGAGCATGGGCTGGTGGTAGCCAATGTTCACCTGCGCGTGCACGAGGGTGGCCGCTTGTTTCTGCACGGCAGCCACGACTTTCGGGTGCGAGTGGCCCACGCTCGTCACGGCAATGCCGCTCGTAAAGTCCAGCAGCTTGCGGTCGGTCGACGTCCAGACCCACGAGCCTTTCGCCTTGGTCATGACCAGGTCGGACAGGCGGCCAATGCCTCTGGCCAAGTGCTGTTTGCCCATCCTGTACAGTCGACAGGCAGAGAGAGTGTCAGTCCGTCCTTCAGTCCGTCAGTCCGTCAGTCCGTCCGTCTGTCCGTCCGTCAGGTGTCGTGGCAGACGCTGGAAGAGTTGGCAAGTGGGGGTCCGCGCGTCGCCTTTTTCTTCGGTAGGGGCACTTCGGATGTGTTCTTACGTACGTCCGCGACGTGGCCCAAGGGATGTGCTGCGGTGTCACTGATCCTCTCGACAGACGCGACGGGACGCGACGGCCCCAACGGCTACGAGAACCGCCGCCGAGATGGGGTCATCGACGTGTCGCACCTGCCCGCAACACCTGATTTCGTCGCCTTGAAACGCGACGGCCAGTCGTGTCGCCGCCACAGGCGAAACCACGTGGTGACGAGCCATCCGGCGCTCGAAGCTCCTGCTGCCCACCGCACGGACGGGAGAAGACAGAGCACATCCAGTGGCGAGCGCACGAAAACGCAGACGCGGCATCTTAATCAGTGCCGGACGACTATGGGCACGTTGGGCCCGCGAGTCTCTGTGGCCAATTGTTGCCACCGCTTCCGTTAAGCGCGTCTTGGACCGTAGGTGCAAAGCATTGATAAGACGTAGCAGGACGGGCAACGGGTCCTCTACGTTGAACTCGATCACCAGCTGTGAGCGGGCGGTGCCGTTGCTCATCCCGTCCGCAACTGTCTGTGGTCGCAGCATTTCTTGCTCTCGTGACGACGCATCGGATCCGTTCGTGTGTGTGCGCGGCACACGTGCAAGTGCACGATGTCGGTCAGTGGCAGCTTCCACGTGGGTTGCTTTGGCACGGGCGGCTGCGGGAGTCACTTGGCTGCTCTACTTGACGACGAGGTAGCCGCAGCAGTGCTTTTGCGACCGCGCGCGGCCGACGGCACTGTATGACGTCCGTGTTGCAGCATGCGACGGACGGCATGACAAGTACGACACGATAGGAGGGGTCCGTAACTACCACGAGCCGTAGACATTGAAGAACGGGCTTTCGCTGCAGGATGTGCCCGAGCTCCTCGACACGTTCGTGCTGGATGACAGTCACACGGAGTCGATGGGGGACGCGACCAATTGCTGTAAAGTGACGGTGAATGCCAATGCGATTGGGCTTCGAGGTGACTTGCGCGATATATGCACGAGCGTGTGGTGGGGCCTGTGCAAGGAGACGAGCGTGTGGTGGGGCCTGTGCAAGGAGACGAGCGTGTGGTGGGGCCTGTGCAAGGAGACGAGCGAGACGTGGCGTCGCCAGCACAGCTCGATCCGTGAACGACGCAAAGAGGATTGCTAGGGTGTGCAGCGTCGGGATTGTGCTGTCGGCTCGCTTTTAGCCATGCGCAGCTCGGACCGGTGGAAGAGCAACTGCCGGAGCTGCCGCCGGCGCGAGGCTGATGCCGTTGGAAGACGCGAACACGGACGTGCGTGGTCGCAGGTGCATATGCCGTCGGTCACGATGAACAGCAAGAGCCAAGCGACAGAGCGGTGGCAGCAAGTGCCGCATGGCACGTACGTCAGTACAATGTCGTTTGTGGACCCCTAGCACGCGAAGGCAATGCGTGTTGGAAGTCACGCGACACCTTTTGTTGTAGCTGTGAGGTGCGTCTTAGTGGAAGAGGGACATGTAATGAACTGCCCAAGGGACACGAAGGACTGTTGGGGTACATGCAAAGATGTACGAGAGACAAAGACGACTCTTTCAGAGCCATATAAAGATCTTCAAAGCAGGTATCTATCTACCAGACTTGAAAGCGAACATATACTCACTTTTTCATTTCCAACCTGCGTAGAAGAGCTGTTTTCCAACTGTATTGGGGCAGCCCGTTACATGGAAAAAGTCATTTGAGAGATAATGACAATAAAGAATATGACGTTGAATATTCTTTTAACAATATCACCAAAGTGGTGATATTGAAGGGTCGACCAAAGAGTCTGTTCATTTGTTGATATCTTGACGATATCAACTTACCAATCGCCGCAAGACGCGCGCAATGAGTGGTGACGAGACGTCACCATACACTCAGTTAGATTAGCATAATTAAGTCAAACAGAGAGACAGTGGTTAAAGACTTAATTATATTAGTATAACAGTTCTGCTTTTACCTTACCTACGCTTCCTCGCTTGCCTTGTGTACGTCAGTCGGTGCACCGAAACCCTTGCGCTAAGTTCACGCAAGGGTGTGCCCCGTTACACCAACAGTGGGAACATGAAGAGCAATGGACGCAGTATCCGCTTGATGCACTCTTTCGGTGCAAGACCCGGACAGGAAAATGGGACAATACTACGACTCGATTTCAGGGGTCCTCAATTACCACGAGCCGTCGCTTCGATCTCAGCAGGCTACCATGACAGTGTAACACGTGCAAGGGAAAAGCAAAGCGACGTATGTAACGGGGCAGCCCGTTACATGGAAATTGTCATTTGAGAGATAATGACAATAAAGAATATTATGTTGAATATTCTTTGGACATTATCACCAAAGTGGAGATATTGATGGGTCAACTAAAGAGTCTGCTCATTGGTTGATATCTTGACGATATCAACCCATTAATCGCCGCAAGACGCGCGCAATGAGTGGTGACGAGACGTCTTCATATACTCAGTTAGAATAGCATAATTAAGTCAAACAGAGAGAGAGTGGTTAAAGACTTAAATATATTAATATAACAGTTCTACTTTTACCCTATCTACGCTTCCTCGGTTGCCTCGTGTACGTCTGTCGGGCGCACCGAAACCCTTGCGTTAAGGTCACGCAAGGGTGTGCCCCGTTACACCTGGTAGCACTTTGTAGTCCTTCCAAGGACCACAGCATCCAACATGAACATGTTGGATGATGAAGAGACCTTTCACGCCACGCGTGAAGGGTTTACCCATTTGAGTGACATCAAATGAAGTGCGGTAGAACGAATGAGTTCTACCGTAGGCGAGTTCGCCATTAGCGCCATGTTGGAGTCTCTAGACAGAGACCAACAACATGCCGCTATAGCCAAGTTCATTCAAAATGAATTTGTCGCCGAAAGGGAGAAAGTAGCCTTGCTTCACCAGCAAGGCTCTCAACAGGCCGAGCAGTTGAGAGAACTCGGTGCTCAACAGACAGAGCTGTGAGCGGGACGGCAGCAATTTCATGCTGCTGTGGGCGGGACGGCACATGCGCGTCGTCCCGAGGTCATGGAAGTCGACATCTCCAAATACAGTGGAGTCCCGGAAGAGTCCCTGTTACTGTGGTTTGTCGAACTCGACAGAGCCTTAAGGGCTCGTCGCGTCGAAGATGAGCAAATGAAACTCACATTTGCTCAGACCCACTTGGCAGGACGTGCCAAAACTTGGTCCCTGGGGCTCGAGAGTAGCGACCCAAATGTGTTTAGGTCGCTAGATGACTTCAAGTCCCGGCTCAGACAAACGTTTGAGCCGCCACGGGCTGAGTTCAGGGCTCGTTCAGAGCTCCTGAAACTCAAGCAGGGTAAGCGTGATGTGCACGCTTACGCACAACATATACGACTCCTTGCGAGTAGTGTAACTGCTAACCCAGTCCATGAACACACGTTGATTACGGTGTTCATGCAAGGGCTCGCAGAAGGGCCCGTCAGGAGTCACCTGTTCCGCCTTGAGCTGAATACGCTGGAAGATGCGATATCAGCCGCGGAACAGGAAGACTTTAGCATGAGACAGGCTCATGCTAGCTCGAACTCTTATCGGCCACCGAGACGACAAGAGATCGGAGGTCCAGAACCAATGGAACTCTGCTATGTTGAGAGCGAGAGACCTCGCTCTTCAAACAACAAGCGATTGCAGAAGTGCAATCGCTATCAGAAGTTAGGGCACTACGCATACGAGTGTAGCGCTCCACGCCCAGTACCAAACAGTACTGAGCGAAATGGACTACCATTTGCCAGAAAGAGTAATGGGCGTGGGTCCAGCGCTGTTACGAAGCCGCAACAGCGAGACGGACCATCAAAAAATGGTCGGGGTCAGTAGGGGTGGAGCGCCCTACTGATCCAGCAACCTCAAGAGAATTTGCAAATCTCTTGACAAAAGTTGCTCCAGATACACAATCATTGTGTGTCTCTACACCTGGTGATGACGTTTCGCTCATCACCCTGAAGTTGGAAGCGACAAATGGATTGTCGCTTCGTGTCCTAGTAGACTGTGGGGCGTCGAACAACTTTGTTCGACGCCAGTCACTAGAGGGTCGTAGGATCAAGTTCGTTGAGCGCGACATTCCCCTCACGAGGATGACGGTGCGCCTTTCAACAGGCGCACCGGTTACCGTTGAGAAACGTGTAGTAGGAATCCACTACACGTTAGAGGACGAACAGTACGATGATGACTTCATCGCACTAGATCTGGATGACAAATTTAATGTCATCCTGGGATTACCTTGGCTCAGAAAGTACGAGCCAAGGGTGAGCTGGCAGCATCGATCCGTGAAGATGCCTGCCGCTTGTTCATCAGATGGCCATCTGATGAACATCTTGGAGCGTCCACAAGCGTGTGGATGTTCTGCGAGAGAGTGCGATGGCCTCACTTGCGGTACGGTCGTTAGCACGACTGCACAAGATCACAGTGTAGTTGATCACTACACTGTGGAGCAAGCTCCCGGCGGCTGTACAGAGGTACAGGCTGCGCCGAAGATCCACCACTCGAATAAGTCGAGTGAACCGGGACATGGATGCATGCCTCGCGGGCAGCATCTTGGAAGTAATAAACCTGTTGCCTCCAAAGGGCAACATGGAAATCCTAGGTCGGCTGGAGAGTCGACCGTAGAGGATCAGTGCCTGACTGTGGTTGCACAGCCACAGTCAGAAGACGTCGAGGGAATAAGTCCCCACGTGCTTGAGGAAGGAATTCCTCAAGATTCACTTGATGAGGGATCAGGCCCTCAGCAACCTGTGGAAGCAAGTTCCCAGGAAGAAACCGAGACGTTGAACGTATTGGTTAATGACGGATCAAGCGTAGGCGCTTATACGCTTGATCTGATTGTGCCTCCGAAGTTAACTTCGGAGATAACTCAGTTGCCAACGCTAGAACCGAAACGGTTCTTGCGTGATATGCGTAGTGGCAAAGTCAAGCAGGTCTGCATACTCGTCACAGAGGATGAGTATGTGGCCGAAATTCGGTCGGCCACAGTATTTGCTGAGAACGAACGGGTTCTCAGCAGCTCATCGATGGACGAAAGTGTCCTCGATGAGAAGACTCGGATTGAGCGATACGCGTCTCAATCCTGGGAGTCACTTCAGGCAAATCCTTTGTATAAGGATTTGATTGAATTCAGGGATGTGTTCCCTGAATCCGTGCCATGCGAGTTGCCTAAGGACAAAGACACTCGACACGAGATCGAGCTCAAACCGGGCTCGAAGTACTGTGTCATGAAGCAGTGTCCACTGCCTCGTGAACAAGTACTAGCGATCGACAAGTTCTTTGCCGATCGCTTAGCAGCGGGCCATGTGAGGGAATCAACATCCCCTCACAGCTCTCCGACCTTCTGTGTGCGAAAGGCCACATGAGGGTGGCGGATAGTGCACGCATTCAACAAATTGAATGCTGCAACGGTACCGGCTCAGACGCCGATACCGAGGAAGGACGTAATCATAGATGGTATGTCAAAGAGTACCATCTTTTCGTCCATGGATCTGATGGATGGATTCTATCAGATCCTCATGCGTGAACGGGACATCCTCTTCACGGCAGTGAGTACCCCCAGAGGGATGATGTGGGAGTGGCTAGTTATGACACAGGGGCTGAGCAATTCCCCTGCAACATTCAACAGATGTGTCACAAATCTGTTGAGACCGGTGCGAGACTTCGCACCGAGTTACTTCGACGATGTGTTCGCCCATAGCCGGTCTAAGGACGGAAAAACGGACGTTGAAGTTCACAGAACTCACGTTCGACAGGTTCTTCAACTTATGCGCAAGTATAAGTTGTACGCCAACCTCAAGAAGTGTATATTCGCGGCTAGCGAAATACCACTTCTTGGGTGCATCGTGGGTAAACACGGCGTACGCCCTGATCCCGCAAAGATTAAGGCGATCACCGACTGGCCAGTGCCAGTCGATGTCAAGGGACTAAGAAAGTTCCTTGGTCTAGCGGCGTACTTGCACAAGTACTCGCGCAACTACGCCGAGATGACGGTACATCTTTCTTGGTTGCTCAAAAAAAATGTCAAGTGGTCATGGAACGCTGAGTGCCAGCGTTCCTTTGAGGTATCAAGCAAAGCTTGATGCAATCGCCGATCTTGGCGATTGCAGATCAGGACAGACCATTTCATGTGGTCTGTGACGCCAGCGATTTTG